AATTTTGAAGCAATTTATGCAAGTTCAGTTTAATATAGAATGAGTCTGAACTCAATGTTCTGATTTCTCCCTGGCAGACAGGTTCCTCTGAGCTGTTCTCTCTCTAAGTGTTCATAGAGTCATAGATTGAAGATGATTTCATAAAATTAACAATCTCTTATGTTTCTGAGGCCACTTTAGTCAAAAGAGCCCAGAGATAAAGGCTTATCATTGTTCATGTGGAAGCTAAGAATCATTATATAACTATTATATAGGGGCAGAAAAAAATAAGGAAATAATATATGCAAATGAGAATTAATAACGCAAAGGACATATCTCTTACAGGAAGGGATTGAGTTGCTCCTAAAAATGAACATTATGTCTGGTTTCAAGTGTTCTAAACATAGTATACCAGAAGTTTTTCTACTAATAGTGATCAATGGAAGTAAAATTTTAGTCCTTGTCTCTTTACTGCAAAGAGATAAGTGTATCTCTAAATGCCTAGCTTTACTTCCTGAGGCTCATGCTTCCTGAGCATCTTCTGAATGCATCTGTAGGGTAAAACATACTAACTTGTTCAACAATTACATACTGACCACCATGCACCATGCCAGTTTGTGTGGACATTAGTGAGGGGGAAATAGAAATGAACTAATTTGATTGGTGCAAGATGCTCTACCCTGTAATTCCTGTTCGAATGAGGGAATCCCAGATTTGTGAGCAATTATTCTTGTAGGAAGCAAGAGAGGAGGTGAAACTGGAATTGGCTCTTATGCTAATTTTTGGAATGAGTTTATCTGTGTATATACCTACCTGTCTATTTAGCAATGTTCACATTACAAAAAACAGTTCTTCAAACTAAACACATTATTTTTAAAAACCAAGGTATGAAAGTTAACTCTTGGTTATTTTTATCTGTTTGTCCAGTTCTTAAACTATCTAAATCTCTCCGCTTTTTGTGATCAGGACTTTATTTTCTATTTCATCAACTTTCTTACTCCAGGGTAGACAGGGTAAAGAAAAAGATGCTGAGGTTCAAATCAGTTTATTGCCTACTTGTTATATCAGTTGTTTTTAAATCCAACATCTCTCTCTCTCTCTCTCTCTCTCTGTCTTTCTCTCTCTCTCGATAATAATCTGGTATTGAGCACCCACCAATTTCTTAGACTTTGTTGATATCATTATAACACTTAGGATTCTGAATATAAGTTGCTTAGACAACTTATATTCATTTGCTTCTTAACATGCCTATAATACATCAACTTACCTATTCTGCTCCCTTTTCTCTTTTTCTTAAGTGAAAGATGAATTGAAGGATAGGATTTCTTATCACCTCAAAATAAAGCTAAAGCAAGACTTAAACATTAGGATTTCATACGTTTGGAGCTCTCTACTCACCAACAGATCACAATTATTTTAAGCACATGTTGGACCCAAGCACAGAAAACCACCAAAGTTTCCTATAAAAAAATTCAATGGCTCCACAGGAGCAGAGTAATGACCAAGTAAACTAAGATCCTAGGTTTTCAACAAGCAGGATGTAACAGAAATCTGGATCAGATGTTTCCTAAATGTCAGGTTTTGCTAGTAGAAGAAAAGAATAAAAAAATAGAAGAGTGGTACTGCGGAGCTGCTAATTAAAACAATTCAGAGAACATAAATGCTAGAGTAATTTTGGACCGCCATGTAGGGGCTGGTTTCAATGCAAATGTAGCGTTCTGATTCCTCCCTTCGCTGGGAGGGTATAATTAACTCAGCTGCAACAGGGTGGAAGCCTTGAAGCTGCTTCCTGGCGCTGCCATCTCCTTTTCGAGAAACAGCTGCCACCAGATACTCCCACCACAGATTGCACAGAGATTTGGCCACCACATAAGGCTGTTCACAAGCCACCAGGAGCAGAAGACTCAGGCTTCTAGTGGTATTGTTTTGTTTTGTTTTGTTTTTTTCCTTAAAGATAAGTTAACTCAGTTGAGTTGACTCATTCCTGATCACCATCCTTCCATATAAGATAGCCTAGGCTAACACAAAACCCTTTTATCACTGTGACAGAAAGGACTTTTGACATTGGTGATGACAGCCCACATTCGCTGTAGTGACTCCTCACCTTGGAGTTTGATGCAGGCTGTTGGAGAAGATAAGAAGAAAAGAATGAAGAGAAACTTACTCAAGGTGTTGGCCAATGAGAAACCTGAAACCAACCTTCTGCTATGGTGACATAGAAGAGCAAGAGATACCACGATGAGGATGGGTTTAAAACTAAACTGAAGTGATCCTTCAGGAGGATAATTCATGTGAAAGTAAGAGTGCTCTGGGATATAGCCACTGCAGGTGCACTGGAGTTTTACAAAACCTAGCAATACCTTTTGCTTGCTCATTTGACAAGCTCAGCAGAATGGTGAGTCAATTGCTTATCAGTGGTACCCACTGATATGCAATTTTAATAAGAAAAATATCCCCAGAACCAGTTCTGTGATGATAAATACTTTATGAAACCAAAAGTTGGACTATCATTTTGAAATTTTAGAGAAGGCAAAATAAAATTCTCAATTTCTTCATTTTCCTAGGATACTATCCAATGGTCAGATCTTCCATCCATCACCTAATTCCCTACCCTTTCCTGTCCATTCTTACCTATAGCAAGGCCAATGTAAGGCTGGTTCTTTTCTCTCATTCTTAGTGAGGAAAACAAACAAACAAACAAAAAAATCACAAACCTTTAACTAAGTCATAGCCATAAGGTAAGGAGAATGAAATTAATGTGACATCCAAAACACATTTGTTATTGACTGGGATAGTTCCAAGAACATTTAATAAATAAAGGGACTAGGAATCATTATTTCCTTCAATCAACTTGTCAGGAAGTACTTTGGAATCTTGTCACCTAAGTGGGGGATTTTCTTAATAAATGATAATAAGTATGGCAGATGGCAAATGCCAGTGTTTTTATAATGAATAAATGACCAAGATTAACTTCTTATGATCAAAGTGATGGCCACTATTTTGCTATCATTTTATTTTTCAAAATTTTTTTTCTTTTTTGAGATATAATTCACATACCATGATATTTACCCCCTTAAAGTACACAATTCAGTGGGTTTTCTTTAAAGTATATTCACAATATTGTGCAACTGTTACCATTATATAATTCTAAAACATTGTTATCACCCCAAAAAGAATCCTGGTACTCAAGAGTAGTGACTTGTCAAACTCCCTTCCACCCAGCCTCTGGAACACTAACCAACTTCAAGTGTCCATATATCTTCCTATTCTGGAAAAACTAAATGGAATCACACAATATGTGGCTTTTTGTGTCTAGCTTTCTTCTCTTAGCATACTGTTTTTATCCATGTGACATCATGAATTGGTACTCCATTCCTTTGTATTGCTAAATAATATTCCATTGCACGTATTACCACATTGTTTATCCATTTATCAGTTGATGGACATCTAATTTGTTTATATTCTTTAAGTATTATAAATAGTACTTCTATAAACATTTGTGTACATGCTCTTGTGTAAACATATCTCAATTCTTTTGGATATATTCCTAGGAGCAGAATTGCTGGGTTCTATGGTGACTCTATATTGAACATTTTGAGGAACTACTGAACTGTTTTCCAAAACAGCTGCATAGTTTCACATTCCCACCAGCACTGAAAGAGCTGGAGCATCTAAGCTCCAGTTTGAACACTGAGGTTAAGACTGTTAATCTCATGTCTCCTGCAGATATATCATGTGAATCCTCTTCAATTTGGCATCCATTCCTTTTTGCCACACAAAAATGTGTGGAGAAAGCTATCAAAGTGACAAAGGAAAAACCCACAAAACAATCTGCAGAAGAATATTGAGCAAGGCAATGGATTCATTGTCTTAGACCAATTGTAGCAAGTTGACTTGCAGAAACATACTGACAAGGCATCTCCTCAAAAACAAATAATTTGGAAAAGATAAAAAAAAAAAACCAGAGGCTGTCTTCACCAGCACCACCTTTTTAGGAGAAGGCATTCAAGTTCCAGATTTTATCCCCGTAGGCTATAGCCACCCAGCACACTACAACTTCTGCCTGTTTCCTTCCTCTGCCCCTTGAAAGTTAAGCAACACAAACAGGAATATAAAATGGAGAGTATGAAGTAGAAGAAAATCACCCCAAACCTTTGCTCTAATTAACATGGCTTCAAGGTTTCCAGAAATGTCCTCTTTCTCTCAAACCCAATTTCCAACATCTCAGTTAACAAATATGACATACCTGGGGGGAAAATTCCAAGTAATTGGTGGATTTGAATCTCTACCTGTAACTCCACTGTCAGTGATTTTAGCTTTGGGACCACTAAGCACTTGTGAACAATGCAGGAGCAGACTGAATAGAACGGTCTATAGTCTGCTTTCAACCAACAGGGTCTGCAAGGGAACTACTTCCCAGGTCTAGTGGACTATTGTTTATGTGAACAAGTTCAATCTCCGTTCCATTCTCAAAATCTCCAGGTAAATTTTCACAGAATCTAACCTAAGTCCTACACTCCTTTAACCTCATGCCCCCTTCCCCAACCCAGTGCCCCAGAACCTTTGAGCTTCCCTGGAAAATCTCCTGGAGATGTTACCTGCCACTCTGGAGAGTCATGGACAGAACAATGTATATGTTGAACGATCTTACTCCAGCCCAGAACACAACTGTATTTGGAGATGGGATTTTAAAGAGGTGATTATGTAAAAAGGGGGTGGGCTCTAGTCCAATCTGATCAATGTCCTTACAGGAAGAGGAAATTAAGATATAAAGAGGGAAATCTTGGACTCATGCACATATAGGTAGGGAGGACGCAGAAAGAAGGCAGCCACCTGCAATCCAAGAAGAAAGGCCTCAGAAGAAATCAAACCTGTTACCACCTCGATCTTGGATGTCCAGCCTCCAGAACTTTGAGGAACAAATTTCTGTCAAATTCTCTAATTTGTGATGTTTTGTTATGCCAGCCCCGGCAAACGAACATGATGGGAAAAAGGGTCTCCTTGTTGGGGTAGCTACTCACCCTGTAGTAGTCAGTGCTGTACACGTCCCGGGACATCCCAAAGTCCCCAATCTTCACCAGCAGGTTTTCTCCAACTAAGCAGTTCCGGGTGGCCAGGTCGCGGTGCACGAAGTGCTGGGACGCCAGGTAGACCATGCCTGCGGCGATCTGCTGCGCGATGTGCAGCATCTGCGACTGGGTCAGCTCCGTAGGCGGGTTGCCCTCGGCCATCAGCACCGCGTCAGGCCCATGTGCCCTGGGGAAGGACAAGGAGGGCGCTGGAGCCTCGGCTCTTTGATTAGGGGAAGGGGGCGCTTTTCCCCTCTACCCCTCTCCATCACCCCCACTCCACCCCACCCCCGCCAGCTGCTGGTGCTAAAAAGACGCTGGGCAGAGAAAGATGCTTTGCATTAGCCACAGTTTGACCTCTAAAGCTTGGAGAGCACTCAGGGGGCGGCGTTTCCCTGATTGTGGAATTCCCTGGGCCTTGTGGGCTTGAATGGTAAGTGTTCACCACGCCCCCGCCCCCCTCCAATAGACAGGGAGGTTTACATTTTAGGGGCTTCAGAACACTACTGAGGTGGAACTGTAGCCACAGCTTGTGACCTTGAGAAGCAGAGGGTGGCTTCAGCAAGATAAATACAAGGGAGAGACTGGATCTCCTAGAGCCATGGTTTTAGCACCCACGTAGGGTCCCCACTCCCTCCAGGAGGCCATGCTGCCAGCCTCAAGTTGACGGCTCCAGAGCGGCCTCACCAGCACCAGAGCCCGCAGCCTACCTGATCTGTGATCATGCATGGTGTTCAGCCACCTTGACTCCCCCACACTCAGTTCAGCAGAGTTCCAGGAAAATACCAACGGAAATTCCCAATTGAAAATACCATTTCCTCCGTCCCATCCTCCTCTAGACACACGCCCTGGCCACCTCCTAGGAGAGCTCTTTTGAATCACAATACATTCATTCTTTTGCTAGACAAAGTATGAGTCTTCATACTTTGGCTGGGTGGGCTATGGTATTTTTTAATCTTCTTTTTCTTCCCTTATGCACCTGGCCTTTCCCCAGCTATGTGATGACTTAGGGCATCTTACAGCGGTGTGTGCTTCAGGGAAGAGAATGGTTCCAGGTGTGGGTGTGCTGCAGCCCTCAGCAATGGCAGTCCTACTTCTGGAATCCTGCAGTGGGCAGCCCAATAGGCATCAGTGCCCCTCATGGCCTGAGGGGGCGCTACAGGGCAAGGAATTAAGGGCAAGCTTTGCTGTAGGGCCAAGGGCTTCTTCCTCCCAAGGCAAAAGGAGAAGGCCTCCTCCAAGACACTTTGCAACACTTGAAATAAACATAGAGGATTTTAAATAAATTTTAAAATGGGTGACTTCATCTTCAGGGGACCAGAACTATATGAATATTTGAAAGTGAGAAAGCCACAATCATCCAAGAAAATGTGGCCTGGCATTTTGTGCTGCTGTCACCCCATCCTGGTGCAAGCTGTGCCTATATCGCCTTCCATCTTGACTCCGGCTCACACGGATCCTCCCTTTCTTTGATTTCCAAAGTCTGCTGCTCTCAAGCTGATCATTTTCACATTCTCATGGAACAAGAACCAGACAGGAGCTAGAGAGACTCCTGGGTCCACCAGTACCTAGCACCATGATCTTGGGAACTTTTACTATCTCTAATGTGCAATCAATCCCCTTATTGGTCAGAAATACCGATGGAGCTTTTACTGGGCGATCCTTAGCTCCTTTCTGTCTCTAACTATCTGGATTTAACCACTCTGGAGGGAGGAGTTTCTTATTTTTATACAAGGCAAGTCCTAAATCACTTCACCTCTGCCTATTTTTGCACTGAGGAACAAAACTGAGGGCAGGCTTTGGGCTTTCTTCAGCTCAGAACCCATCCCAAAACTCAGATATCAGAACTGAATTTTAATCCAATCCTAACACAATTAACTGTGTGACCTCAGGTACATTGCATAACCTTCCTGGGCCTGTTTCTTTATTCTATAAAATGGAGATAGTAACTACATTTTTCTAAGGGCATTAATGTGAGGAAAAATTGAGACTGCTTATATAGTGCCTCCTGACCTTTCATCAGGAAGCCAGGGGAAAAGGCTTTGCAAAAAAGAGAGAGAAAAAAAAAGATGCAGAATAGTGACATGAAAACACATTTTTCTCATCAGAATCCAAAAGGACTGGCCCTTTTCACCCCACTAAAGTTTACTCCAGTCTAACTCTTCAGACAGCAGGAGAAAGTTTGCTTTCACATCTCTTATAACTCTACTGAGACCAGGAGAAGGACCTGAAATAAAGGCTCAGAGAACTTGGGCCCCCTGCAGACATCGTTGGTTTAGTTCAAAGAGTGAGATAAGTGCTGGATAAGCTGCAGCCCACTTTAGAAAACTGGATTATTCTAAGTAGCAGAAGCAAGGACTCCAGGTAGAAGAAAGGTCCAAAGCCAGGCCCAAAGCCACTGCTGGGAGAAGTGGCTTCCTCCATCCTTGCACTCCAGAGGCTGATGAAAGTTGTGGCCCTCTGTTGTCTGATGCACTTTAGAGTCCTCCACTAACTCAGGGAAGCCTCTATGTTGTTTGTCATTTCCCCTGCTCACTCCTGGGTGTGTGAGCAAGGTTCCTTCATCAGCAGAAGCCTTGGACACTTTTACTTTCTTTGAGCATAAAATCCTTCAGTGAAAGGAGGGCAGTGAGATCTGAATTAAGTTCATAAGAGGAGCATATACAGAGCACAGTAGCCTCAGCTTTCATGGCCCAGTTTTTCCTGCAGTTCTTGGAAATAAGAATGTGTTTCACCTCTTCCAGGAGAATATTCCTTAGGAGCTGACAGTGTACCATCTGCATCCTGGTATAAGGAACCAGCAATAAGCTCTCAGGGCCTGCCAGGAGGCTGCTTAGCCTTCCTGCTCTTGTCTCCAGAGTGGTTTGGAGCTGAAAATTCACCACTCTGTACTGGCTCTAGAATTCTATAGCTCACTACTTTCCTTGTGATTCTTTTATTAAGCTATATATATTTACTTTTAATTTTTTTAATTAAAAAATTAATTGGTACAAACTAATTGGATATATTTTTAGTTCAATACATGTATACAATATGTAATGAACAGTTAGACCAAAGCAGTTGACATCTCCATCATCTTAAACATTTATCATTTCTTTGTGTTGGCAATATTCAAAATTCTTCTCTACTAGCTATTTTGAAATATACAACTAATTGTTATTTAGCAGTTACCCGGCTGTTCCTTATAAGTTATTTAATAGCCACTTCTGCAGGAAGGATTGCATGGTAGTTAAAAAGACTATGGGCTTTGCAGGCAGGGGCCTTGGAGTGGAGTCCCAGCTCTGTGACTTGCTGTGTGACCCAGTATAACTGTAATATGGGAATAAATGGTAATAATAGTTTATTAGGTTTATGCAAGTTAAGATATTTTAAAAACTTAGAAAGGCTCAATAAATATTAGCTGTTATTGCTTGAAAAATATTTGTATATCTTTATCCTCACTAGAGGGGAACTTGGGTGGAATTCTAAGAGGGAAAATTGTGAAACTCCTGAAATCAGTGTTTTCCTCCTTATTTCCCATCCCACCTAACATAGGGCCTGACCATGTTATGCTCAGTATATGCTCTTGGAAGAGTAAAAAGGAAAGGGGATAAGAAAAGATAAAAAGGAAAAGGATAAGAAAAAACATCTGCCTTTATCAGGCAGTGCCACTGACACTCAGGATTTTTCATGGCAGCTATGTGCCAGGTTCCCTTCAAGAAAAAGGACAGCCTGTCCTGTACTCAAATGCATTATTGCAACTAAGAACCTGGTTCTTAGCATGACAAATCTCTTGTTTCCAGAATTTAGCAGGTTCTGAAATAAAGCAAGGTAAGTTTCCAATTTGTTCCACAACTTGTGCTGGATGCCAAGGGGCACACCAAGGGGGAACCAGGAACCTGCTCCTTCAGGAGGCAGAGGAGTGACTGACAGAGTCCGAAAGTGAAAGAATCAAGTTGCTATCTCTCTCTCTCTCTCTCTCTCTCTCTCTCTCTCTCTCTCTCTCTCACACACACACACAATGTAAGCACACAAAAACATTTAATTGCATCCAGATAAAGGCATTTGGATTGATTTTGCTACAGTTTTTAGAAAGCTCCATTTTGGATTAAGGAAGTAGCCTGAGGCATGGTGAAAATATTTCTCCTCAGACTAGCCAGATCCCAACCAAATTCAACTTCTTTTCCTCTTTTCAAGTTAGATCTGACAAGACAAAGGCAAAGCTACCATCAACCTCACCCCCACCCCCACCTTATCACCTACTATAAAAATTTTGTTGACAACTAGGGGTTGCCCATGTCATGTTATTTGATTATACCAATAATCTTCCAGCAGACATAGGCTAATGCATTGTGATTGTCTCTGAATATGTTGAATGGTCAATGTATGAGAGTATCTCATGAGTATCCCCTCATCTACCTGATCTCAGGAAAAGCAGAGAACAGGGACCCATTCTAGCCAATGAGAACTAAATCGTACATGGATATGTGAGGCTGGAGATGGTAAAATGATCCAGACAGCACCAATCGTGTGATGGTGTTTCTAAAAACGGCACCACACTCTCCCCCTTCTATTGTTCTCTCCATGATTGATCTTTACTTAAACTGCACTGCATCTGAATCTCCCAGCAATGTATGAGACTAACTGGGACAGACTTCTGTGAGACACTCTCTGCTGTACCTTGGAACACACATTGGAGAGGTCTAGGTGTAGCCATCACAGGTGCCACTCCCCAGGATTTTGGATCCCTGAGCTACAGAAGTGAAGGGTTGTGGGAACAACAGTTATTGGTTTCCTCACCTTGCAAGGGTCCCTTCCCACTTTTTCCCAAGATGCAATGTTTGGCCCCTTTTACCAGAAAGGAATCAGAGGCTACCAAGGGCAAGTGGCCAGTCTGCCTCTGACATGTTCACTGTTTCTCCTAAGTTGTACTCTTTAACTAGATGTGATATGAGGTAAATTGGCTAATCTTTCAAAGATGTGAGACAACCAAATTTGAAAGAAAGCAGTGTGTTTGTGCCAGACAAGATTTAGAGATGAGTTCCACTTAAGGAACACATGCAGCTAATGCAGAGAGGGAAGCTAATGCAGAGAGTCCCCTCTCTGGGAGAACCTGTATCTCTTTACTGTTATGACTGGGACCTCTGACACTTTGGGCTCAGACTCTCACCTGTGTCACTTCTATTTGTGCTCTGCCTAATGAAAATGAAGACATTGCTTGGTTTTTTTTTTTTTTCCATACCACTTGGTATCTCTCTTAATCAGTGCATTGCTTCTCTCCCTCACAGACACAGGAGAACATTCACCAGTGCCTCAACCAGAGCGACCACAGACCTCCTCCACCTTATCAAACTAAGTTCTTGTGATCTCTGCACTGAGGCAGCTGGGAACCACAGAATCATCATCAGCAGAATCCTAATGCCTGTTTATTGAACACTCGCTATTTGCTCCTATGCTAAGAGTTGTCTAGACTTACTCTAATGCCATACCCATGCACACTTCCCAACTCAGTGCTTCCATCACTCAACATTCAGCTCATATGAATTCAACTTCACTTCTGTCTGGAGTCAGAATCCTGTGGTTAATCTTACCACGTGTCATCTTATGCTCTCTCCTCAGAAGCCATTCTCACAACCCTTCATATTGCAATAGCCTCACTTTTCTAAAGCAACTTGACTTTTCCTCATGATTACACTCACTCTAAGTAGTCTCTCTTGTCTGACTTGGCTCCTCCTCCCACCCATCTGAAGGAGGGGACTTCTTGAGAAGCCACAACGAGCCAATGCTAGACATGCATGTGACACTAGCCCTACTTAATAACCCAGTGACTCTCTTTTGCATTTATCACTTCCTTGACTCTCCATCTTCTAGAGATCTTGATTACTATGAAACCCTCACAATGAGGCTGCCTGTCTTTTCATGACCCAAGGGGCTATTGAACTAAGATTCCAAGACTTCAATGGCCCCATCCAATATTCTTTTAAAACATTTGCTCTTTGAGTTCTGTTCTTTCCACTATAGATATTTTGAGCTACTAACTTCCTGGTTGCTCTTTTTGTACTCAGAATAAAGTCTAAACAATACCCTTTCAGCCTTGACCCATCCAGCTATTTTTTTTACTTCCTTTCTCCAGTTCATTTGATCTCACCTCTTCATTCTCATTTGACCTCACCTTTCATGTTGATACCTCTTAGCTCTTACAGTTTCCTTGGCTTTGAGTAATACTCTTCTTTTATCTACCTGGCAAAATCCTACAGACCTTCCTAGGCTTATCTCCAATGCACATCTCACATGCCACTTAATATAACAAATACTTAATGAATGCAGGTTGAATCAAGTTGAATCACTAGCATCACATTAGGTAGAGTGATAAGATAATAAGAATAAGAACAATGCTATTGTTTTTTATTTTCTCTGTTTCTTTCTCTGTCATGTGTTAGTGTAGTTATCAGGAAAGACTTCCAAAGAAACTTCCAAAGGTCCTTTCATCCCTCCCAGGAACTCTTTGTCCTCGACTTTGGGTTTTCTGAGCCAGAAATCTTGTTTCCTCTTCAAGCCAGCTTCCCATCCACCCCTCACTGTACCTAAGGAACTTGTTGAGGTCCCCATGTTTCATGTACTCGAAGACCATGATGAGAGGGTCTCCCTCCACACAAACACCATAGAACTTGACAATGTGCTCGTGCTGGAGATTGGTCAGCAGCTCAGCCTCACGGTGGAAGTCCTTGCGTGCATTGTCGCTGGCGTCCTTCAGCGTCTGAACGGTAGAGGCAGAGAGGAGAGAAAACAAACAGTTGTTAAACTGAGGAGCTCAGAGGGAAGGCTGCTTTAATAAGGATTTATATCAGTAGGTCCCAAGAATTCTGGAAGGGAAGGACATTTATCTCATTTATTACATAAAAGATTGGAAAAGAGCCCAATTCCTGAGGAAATAATGTTTGTATTAACAACTGAAAAGTAATCCTTCTGGGTATGCAGAGCTTTACAGTTTATGAAGCACTTTTACAGTTGTGGTCATTAAGTCACAGACAGAAGTTCATTTTAGAGTCTTCATGCTAATTTTTACCCCTGTTCCGGACCTAATGGTTACCATCGGCTTCTGTGCCTTCTTGGTGCTTGTTGAACTTCCTATGTTCAGCTTATCTCTGCTCATATAACTTATTAAAAACTTGGATTTGCTGGGTGAGACCAGTGTCAAACAAGGGTCCTTATAACAGCAAAAAGATGTAAGGACAGAAATAGAAGTTAGAGGGGAGATATGCTATTTTGATGCTACTGAAGACAGAGGACAGGAACCTGAGCCAAGATTCCTTAGGTGGCCTTGAGAAGCTGGAAAAGACACAGAAGTGTATTCTACCTTAGAACTTCCAGAAGGAACTAGTCTTTCTAATATCTCATCTTTAGCTTAGTAAAACTGATTTTGGACATCTGACTGCCACAGCTGTGAAAGAAATCATTTGTATTGATTTAAGTTACTGAGTTTGGAGTAATTTGTTATAGCAGTCATAAGAAACTAATATACCTCACTAACATCAGCAGTCCTCCAAGATTTGACTTAGCACCTGTCTGGGAAATGTAACCTGATCATCCCTCATGGCTGTCACATCCCCTTGGCCCCCTAGGCTAGGCTGGATGATTCACCTAGATTCTTGCCATACTTCTCTCTATCACAGAACTAACCACAATACATTCTAATTGTGTTCACTTGCTTGTCTCTGGTATGGACTTTAAGCTCTTTCTCTCTCTGTTCCTTCCATCTCTGCATTGCCAGCACTGAACACAGCACAGTGTACATAGTCTACACGGTGGATTTTATTCATAGATGTCTGTGAATGAATGATAAAGGCCATGAAAAGTCAAATGCTGAGAACAAAAGAGTTCAGAGAAGGAATGGCTGCTTTCAACTGAGGGGCAAGGAGGAGGGAAGCTCCAGAATGACCCTTGATAGAGGTGGCATGTGAATACACGAATTCCTTCTCCAGGAGATTGCAGTCAGTCATTATCAGGTCAGACAGCTAATGTGAACATCCATATTCACTTAAATTTGATACTGGAACAGATTGAAAGCACTGTCACCCAACTGATTTGTACTGACTACAAAATTCAACACTCTGTCCAGTGTCTAAGATAGGTCACTGGTGGTCATTCCCAGCTGGCTGTCTTGACTCTGTCTCCCTGTGGGGTACTCCTGACCTAGATCATCTTTAGACCTAGGATTGTGCCACAGCCTGAGTTCCCTGGTGAAAGGATCTGAGATGGCTTAGCCTGCTCTCAAGAACAATAATGCTGGAAAGACAAGGCAGAGAGTGAAGTTGAGCTGTGATGCCATCTCAACAGAAGAAGCTTCATTTGGCCCAATGGGATGAACCTGAAGAGCTATCCTGAAGTTGGACCAGTGGGGCTGAGTCTTTATAGCTCTCTATCAATCAGTTGTTGGATGGGGCCCATATCCTGGAGGGGAGTGTCACCTTGAGTGGAATTGCTGAGCCCCTCCCTTTAGGGAGCAGGCAGCTGAAGACTGACTAATGGAGCTTTCCCAGCAACTGGGGTGGCAAGTCATTCACTGCTGAGGTAAAGGTGCTGGTTAGTTCATCCCTGAATCTATCACAGGTGAATTCAAAAAGAGATTAACATGGAAGGGTGACTTTCCACACAGACTATCAATGCATATGCAGGGCCTGCTTCAAGTCAGCCACAAGAAAACATTGGGAGGGTGGAGGTCATGCAAGATCTCATTTACTTCCAGCTGCCATTTTTACAGAATCTAGCACTTACCCTAACTGCCTCCACTTATCAGGACTTAAAGTTGTCTCCTCAGTAAAGACTTGACCCAAGAAGACACAATCACAGGTGTTGTTTCCATTAGACCAGAGGTAGTGGTTTCTTCAGTAAAATTCTGGAATTACCATCCACTATGCTCACTTTAGCATGTGGTTTCTGAGAACTGTCTCTATAAGCACCATTGGCTCTGGTTGGAAAGTGAGCAGATTTGACCCTCAAGAACTCAGAGAGGCCACATAGCTTTGATGGTTATTGTCATGGATACAGCACATTTCTTCATTTAATAACACAACAAACAGTGGCTGAGCTCTTTGGTCTGGGTCTCTGTTTCCTTGAATCTGAAGAAACTAGACTTATCATATCCCCTATGCCTCCCAGATTGATTTTAATTGGATCCACAATAAACTTCTTCAGTGTGCTGATCTTGACAATTTTGTTTAAGATTGATTTTATTCATTAGTATGCTTTTGGCTGTTTTTTAGTGTTTTTCTACCTACTGTTTTGTTTTGCTGAACTTCTCATTGACAAAACAGAAGATGAGGCAAAGAGATGGACTAAGAGGAGATGGCCTTATCTGCCAGGTCTTTTCCCTGGACTTATGGAGCAAAATATACATTGTAGTATTTCTCACACTCGACTTGCATTGTGGTTTGGAGTGAATGTCTGTCTCCACTACTGTCTTTGACAGCAAAAGTGCATCCTGTTCACCTTTTTATCACTGGCTGCCTCACTCAGAGTCAAGCTAGTAAAGCAACCCTACATATAAGGACAAAGTTGAGATAACAGAGCATGGGAAAGGAGTGAGAAGTAAATGGTCATCTGGAAGGATGCAACCTGGGTCCAAGTAAGAAATAGAAATGAAGGAAGGACCAGAAAAAGAAAGCTTCCAAGGCTGAAGAGGGATACCCAGTGCATTCTGTCCTGGAGACCCAGCTCCCAACCTGTGTTCTCTTTGCAGTCAAAGTGCAAATCCTCACACTTAGCGATGCTCAAATGAAAGAAGTTCTAGCATAGGATGAAAAGAAATCCATGTTCAAATCTTGGCTCTGCCCTGGACTTTCTGAACTCTGAACTCTGTTTTTCTCCCCTATGGAGCAAAGGTAACAATATCGTCTACCTCCTAGGGGCCCTGCAAGAATGGTGGGAAGTACTCCAAGTTGGGTTGCAGCCCAGGGCTCTTGGTAGAAAAGGACATTTGTGTGATTTGAATTTGAAACCAGGCTTCCTGCATTCAATTTGTTCACATGAGGGTGATAAAGGATGAAGATATATGAATAAGGCACAATGACCAACCCAAGGCGTGAGAGTGGAACTGTTGCCAGGGCTGTCACCTTTTCCTGGATGGTAAGCTAAGCTCTGGAAAGTATCAATCTGTGCATGGAGGTCCAGCCATTGGCTTGTACTGTTTTTCCAGAGATCCTTTCTCTATCAAAAGACTACTCTGATTTGCAAGAGAGCCTACTTCTAAAGCTTTGGCTTGTCTTTATCAGTGACTTGGAAAATTGCTGATTCTTTTAGTTTATTATTACAAGGCATAAACAAATTCTGTATACAGTCTTTCTGCTCAAGTTTTAACAATATAGTGTTTATTCAAGTATACTAGATTGTGTGTGTGAGAGTGAGACAGAGACAGAGAAAGAGAGAGAGGAAAGGAAGAAGGGAGGTAAGAAGGAAAAGAAGGAGGACAAGAGGGAAGGGTGGACAGAGGACAGAGCTTTTCTTTTGAGAAAACAAATCTGAAAAAAAGTTGACAAACACCTACTCAACTTTTTCCATATCCCTAGAGCAAAATACTATGGAAAGGAGCCCTCTCTTACATTACAATTTTTGTAATGTCAAAAATTGTGCCTCAGTAAAAGTTTTGAATCTAAGAGAGATTTTACTATTCATGGGACAAATGTATCTCACAAACCTGGTCTCATCCTGGATGCCCATCCATTTTTGCATGTTGGGTCCTTTTTTAAAATTATGATTCAATTTTATTTTAAGAGATTCAGAAAATATGGCGGTAACAACTTGGGCAAAATCATCTTCTGAATTTGGCACTGTAAGGACAGAGTTTTTCCAGGGGTGGAACCATAGCCAGACAGCAATCAGAAGTTGGAAAATCCTGATATCAACCGATTTATAAATATCATCTCTGTTTTAGTACCGTAGCTGATTGTCATTTTACTCAATTATGTGAGGCTTGGCTGGCTCCTGAGTTCCTTGGCAATGCACTGAGGCCATGAATATGGGGTGGCAGCTTCCCTGCCTGACTATTCCCTCCACTCAAGTTTCATTTTGACAGGCAGATTTGCCCAGTCATTGAGCATTGCTGCTTTCTTACTCTTACTGTCCACCTGTAGTTTCTTTTTTTTTATATCTGGTGAATTTCCTGACACTCCAAAACTGCCATCCTTTCTGAAGACAGTCCAAGGAGAGGTCTCATTCAGAGCTACAACAAGATACTTCCTGTAGTACATATTGATCTAGAGTTGGGCTAGTGGAACAGCATGTCAGCACAGAACTGAGAAACTAGTGAAGGTGAAATGCAAGTAAGGAAAATCAAAATTCATCTAAAATGCAAGAGCAAAATTTTAATGTTAATGGAAAGCTAGTTAGAGAGGCAAGACTTATCTGAAATATTGGTGTGATAGGATATTGTAGGACAAAACAAATGATCGTGCAGTTCAAAGTCTAAATGGTTTAAGGAGAGACAAGATAAAGCAGACATTGTGATCTTTTAAAAAAACTGATCTCAGATTCTTATTGTCATCCAGTTTAGAGATCATAGAACATAGTGTTCTTATTAAGGTGAAAGACAAAATATAGAAGAGAGTGTTATGGTAAGACTTCCCTGTGCCCAATGCCCATCATAGTGCTTGAAACACAGAGAGAAATAAATGAACTCCCAAACTAAGAAACCAAGATGCATGAGAATGTTTGATTAGTATGCTGAAGTCCCTCTGGGTCAGTATCATTCGGTGGACATCT